AAAGCGATAGATAATGAATGGTGCCTAACCTTATACCTCTCCCACGAATCAGGACGAAGCCATTGCCCGATTGTCCGAAAACGCTATCAGTTTCTTGTCAAGTTATGGCAGTTCCTTCATAAAAAAGTTGAGGTTTCGTTCCACGTGGGCCTTTGTTGTGTCTGTGACGAAAAATCAGCGCATCGTGCACGCAGAGAGTTATCAGAACCCTACTGATTCTAACAAGTGGGCAAGTCCGATAAAAATACGAACCCTGATAAAACTGAAATCTGAACATGTCGTCCAGTGTCAATGGGAAGATACCATAGCAAATAGACGGAGGATGGAATTCTGTGGAAAGTTTGAAGGCTATGGAAACGTTTGCAGATGTAAGTTTTGTTGTTTAACCTTGGGTTTATTTTCCTGATTTCATTTTAATTAATAAATTTTCGAACATAAATTTTGAGATCTACGTAGGATAACTTAAACTGACTTATATGGAGTATAATTCATCACATCGTTTCCGCGAAGGAAAGCATTTGACCTTCCATTTGATCTGTAATGTGACAGTTACTTTGTAATCCACTGGTCAGAACAAAATACTCGCAATACAGCGCCGAAGGAATATGAAACACCACGGAAAGAACATAAGATGCCTCACTCGGGCCCAGGCTACTCTTCTTTCCCCCACCCTTTTTTCCGCCACAGTAATTTATCTTCTTGACAACATAATTGCGTCTATACTTGATCTACGTTCAGGTGAAAATCCTGTTCCTCTGGAAATCGACCCACCCGCGTTCCCAGATGGGAGCCGCTTCAAGCTCCCTATAGCGATCATGGCCAGCAATAGGCCAAGCTACCTATTGCGCATGCTTTTAGGCATGCAAAAGGTCCATGGACTGGACACGAGTATGATGACAGTGTTCATAGATGGTTTTTGGCCGGAACCTGCTTCCATTACCAGGCTCCTTGGTGTCAACCTTGAGCAACACGCTGGAGTCAGCCGGCGGAACGCCAGAATTTGTCAGGTACAATAAATCGATATCAGTTGGGGAATTGATGTTTACTTTCACAGCAGTTTTTTCCGTGATAGATATGCTTAAAAGCGTCACTGAGGCAGGTTCTGCTTGGTATAAAAGATACAATATCGACGCAAAACGATAGAAAACAGAAGGACAAAATAATGACGAAAACAATGAAAAGAATAGTTTAATCCGTGTTTCATCGTGACGTGTCCTGTGTCTTTTACACTTTTACGCTTCGTGGTGCGCCAAAGTCCTTAAGGGATTAGGGCGAGGAAACACCTGACACATGATTATTACTAACGATTCATTTTTTAGTTTTAAAAAAGTGTCTTTTTTAGCATTACAAGAAATCCATCGTTGACTCCTTCGACAAGCATCCTGATGCTAGCTTCTTATTGATACTGGAGGAAGATCTCGACGTGTCTGTGGACATTCTGAGCTACTTTAAACAGCTTCTCCCCGTCTATGAGAACGATGAAAGTGTTTATTGTATATCAGCTTGGAACGATCAGGTAAGAAAGCAAAAAACACACAAGGGGGGGGGGGG